CCAGGACATCATTCCCATCAAAAAACTTGTTTCTAAGAAGACTTGTACTGCTGCTCACAAGGCTCCAGTGGACAATGTGACTTTTCATTCTGAGGAGAATGTTGAAAAAATGGAAGTATGTTGAACAAAAGAGGATAAATTTGGAAATGGAATTGGTTAATGATTTCCAAAAACATAAATAGTTTGTGGAGCTTATAAATTTGGAGGGTTTGATGAAGACTGTCATAAAATTTGGTCATTGTTATGAAATATTAGTCAAAGAGTTTGTTGTGAATGTCCCTGATGGGTGTGATGATCTACAGAGTGAAGACTACATGAAAGTATATGTTAGGAGAAATGTTGTAACATTCTCTCCTGCTATTATCAATAATTTTCTCAACATGTCTGAAGAACCTCAAGCTGAGTTAGAGGTTACAAATGATCAAGTTTGCATGGAGATAACTGGTGGGAAAGTGAAGCATTGACCAAATGGAGGAAAGTTGTCAGCTGGAAGACTTAGTTTGAATTTTGATATTCTTCATAGGATTGCTACTATTAATTGGGTTCCCACAAACCACACCTCCATTGTTTCTACGAGCCTTGGCAAGTTCATCTATGTTATTGGAAAAGAAAGGACTTTTGATTTTAGAAAATACATCTTTTTATTAAATTCTAAGCAAGCATCCTCGTATGCTGCGAAGCTGCCTATTTGTTTTCCTTCTCTCATTTGTAGAATTGTTTTGAAACAACACCCTGGTATTTTATTGGCTATTAATAGTGTGAAGAAAAGGGAATCCCATTTGACTTTGCATTATAAACTATTTGGTGGAGCACATGCTCTAGATATTGTTGTGATATCTTTCCAAGTGCCCGGTTCCATCACTTCAAAGAAAGGAATAATCACTCAATTGAAGGAGACATGCAGGGAATTGAAAGACTCTATCAGGATTGGGATTTCTAGGAAGATCAAGCTTGATGGTTTGATTAAAGCTTTGATGGACGAAGAGGAAAACCATGTTAAACCTGCTAGTGTTATGTTGTTAACAGTGTTGAATCTGAAGGTGATGAATTTTTAGGTGATTATTCTGATAATGATGGTGCCGATGGTGATAATGTTGCATCTGATGGTGATGATGCAAATGGTGAAGGAGATGGGTATGGAAATGTTGATGATGTTGATGCATGAATGTTGTTCTTGTGTTCTTTTTTTGTTTATGGTTTTGTAAGGGTTTAATGCCCAAACCATCCTTAGAACCTTGTGTGCACTTTGTGCTACTTATGTTTATGTGCTAATGTGCTATTGTGATTCTATTTTGGTTAGATGCTTACCTTTGTCATATTATGGCTAAAAAGGGGGAGTAGTAATCTAATGTGCTTTAACCATTAATCACTAACTGATTTGTTTATGATTGTTACTCTTGGGGGGGGGGGGGGGGGGAAGGTTTTGATTCTTTAAAGTTGATTGCTGCTGATATTAAGGGTGAGAATCGTCTAATTCTCTGAAGTGTTTATTATCAGTTTTAAGGGGGAGTCCTTGCTCTGGATTAGACCGTTGTGAAGAGATGTCAGACATGATGTCCTGACATCGATCTGAATGAGAATTTATTTTTCTCTATGTTGTTGTGTTGAGTAGCTTCCACTGATTGATACTCTGATATTTATTTCTGATGCTAATGCCTCTGATAGTTTATTTTTCTGATGTTGTGCTTCTGATATGTGTGTTTCATTTATTTTTAAACCTATGATGTGGTGTTTGTGTGTAAGGGTTATTTAATTGTTTTTAGCCAAAATTTACCAAAGGGGATGATTGTTAATTCTTTGTAATTATGATTGGCATTAATTTTGGCAAAACTATATGGGCATCAATATGTTGAATAAAATGTTTTAACTTACAGAGAAACATGTTAAATAAGTTGTCCTGTCTAGATGATCCAACATCGTGTTTGTTATCTTTTATCATTTTGCAGTTTGGATTTATTTGGTTACTGAATATTTTGTGAATATTAAGTAATCTTATGTGGCATCTGAGATTGAGGAATAAGAGATTTTGTTCGAGTTTAACATTATTCTATTTTTCTAAATGTTGAGACATGTTAGGTAACTCTTGATTGAAGACCTATTTTTATGCAGTAAATTATGGAGACTTTAAGCAGCCGTCTTGCTGCGTTTTTGAAGCCTAAATCCAGTCCATAAGTTGTTTTATAAATAGAAGATCTCAAATCTAATAGTGTGTGAAAAGTGTATTATTATTTTAGGGGTTGGGTGTTAATTGTAAATCTCTCTAATATCATCTTGATACAAGAGTAGAATTGTCTTTATTGAGTTGTAAGTACTGTTAATCACTCTTAAGCTTTTAAGAATTGAGTGATTATGTGTCCTTGAAGTGTGACTTCTGAAATATTCTAAGTATTAGTGTTTTCATCACTGTTGTGATTGAAAGGGAATTGAGAATGGTTTCATACCTAGGTGAATTTTACGTAGAAGTTAAGCACGAGTAGTGATTAGGTGCGTAAATTGTAAACTGGTGATAGTTTGTTGTGGGTCTACAAACTAATACTATTTAATGGACTTCCTCCTTGGCTTGTTAGCCCCCAAACGTAGGTGTTATTGTACACCGAACTGGGTAAAAAACTGTGTTTGTTTATTTTCAGTATTATTAATTGTATTTATCTTAACATTATATTTTGATCAGATATCAGTGTCTCAACATCTTTTAAAACACTTGATATCTGCATACCAGAATTTCAACAAATACCATAATAATGTACTTAAACTCTACTCATTGACATTACCTATAAAAAACCATTTATTTAATTGAAGATTTATAAAAGCAATTATAATAAGTTAACGGGTTAAAATATGTTTTTGAAGTTAATAAATTAGTGGATTAAAATATGTTATTGAAGTTAAAATATGTTATTTAGCATGTGTATTTAAATGAATTTTTCTAAGAGTTTAAAGTAATACATCAAGAGTGTAAAATAATATTATACATACAATTAATAAAAAAATTATTTTTATCATTGTCATATCAATATTTTAAAAATAAAAATGTGATTTAGCGTGATAAACGTCTCTCATTAGTTGTCAATGTCCAAATATTTTATAATGTCAATGTATATTCCTTTTTATAGTCTATTAATGCATGTTATGAATATGTTTTTCGTAAAAATATTAGGCAACTTATTTTTTTAAAAAAGGTTTTAATATATTTTTTATCTTATTATTTAACTCAAGAAATTTTAAGTTCTTTATTTTTAAAATTGATTATTTTGGTTCTTATATTGAACAACTTTTGAATGTTAATGTGTATAATAATTATTCCTTCTAACTCTAAAAATTGATTTAGGTTTAAATTGTCGGTTAAATTGTTGGGTGATGGATTAATGTCCTCCTAACTATTTGACTAGAGCCTGACAATACGAATATCATTTCTCTGCGTTAGTAGGAAGAAGTGGTTTCTTCCTTGGGAAAGTGGCAAACATAGATCCTTTCATGTAGATATGGTCTAACATGTATTAAAACATTTGTCCCTTTATGAACATAGATGTGGGATGGGCGTCACATGACTTATTTGTGGTGAGTCGCATTGGGCGACCAATGACACTCCATGTCTCGCTCGCCTGAATTATTTGTGGTCATTTATGATGTTGTTTGGGTTGATTGAGTTGTGGATTATTCTTTTTTATAGCCCAACTAAAGTCATTCCAATCCACAATCTTTCAAACACGGGGCCTTGGGAACGATGAAGTGATTTAAGCTATGTAGATGATGATCTCTTTCTAGAAGAGAATTGGAAAAACAAATCCTTAAATAAGGTTTAGGGGCAAGTCTCTCAAGAACATCTTATAGGTCACTGTCCCTCAAGCGTGACTTGAGACGAGTCCATCAAGAAAAGCTTATAGGGCGAATCCCTTAAGCGAAGCTTAGAGGGATAGTACCTCGAGTTTCACTTAGAGTGAGACCCACAAACAAAATTTAGAGGGTTAGACCCTCAACCACATCTTAGAGGGCTAGTACCTCAAGTATGGGAACCACATGGGACATTTAATGATGCATTATGATGAATTATGTTTTAGAAAGACACATGTACTATGGGTCGTTGATTAATTTGCACGCATCTAATCTGATCCATGAATGTCCTACTATATACTAGCATGTGTTGTTATACTGCTTAAAAATGATGCATACTCGACCTAGACCACTGACTTTATAAATAAAAGAATAACAACTTTAATCAAAATTATCAAGATACCGAGAATATAATCTGATCATCTTGTATTTAGTATTTTCACACCTTTATTATACTTTCATATCGAAAATTGAAGTTCAAATTTTCAAACTAACAAGTGGACAGACAAATTTCAAATTGCACGAAAATAAAAATAAAATAAAACTAAAATTTAAAAACAAATAAGTAAATCAATATAAAAGAAAAACAACAAATGTTATTGAAAATTTATAATAGCGTGTTGCCAACCACAATTAGAGGTATATGCATAAATTATTATCCTGTAAATACGTAATATTTTAATTCATAAAAAAAGAATCATCAAGATTAAGATGTGCACCTAATCTTATGTAGATTTTAATATTTCAAATAACAAACGGGAAAAGAGGATAATTTATAGTGATACGTACATCACTCGCAATTTTATGCATTAGTTTACAAAAGATTCTCTGATATTTATTGGTGTAAAAGAAAAATTAGTTGGGTTGATAGTTTTTTTCTAAGGTGAAAAGGGTTGGTAGCCATCAGTGTCATTTGATATATGAAAATATATATTATATATTATCTTACAAATGGTATAAACGTCAAGGTCCCGTAGCTCAGTTGGTTAGAGCGTTGGTCTTATGAGCCGAAGGTCGCGGGTTCGAGCCCCGCCGGGACCAGCTACTTTTTTAAAAAATTTACTTCAATTTATTTTTTTATTTTATTTATTTCTTGAACATTTTTTCTTCAACGAGTCTCTGGGTTTCAGAGAGTAAGAAGAAGTAAGCTTGAAGTCCATGAAATCAAAATGGTGCACAGTGCATACGATTGTTTAGAACTAGTTCCCAATTTCAACGGCAAGATCGAAGCAATCGAATCCTACGGTTCTAAACTTCTACTCAGTTGCTCCGATGGATCTCTCCGAATTTACGCGCCGGAAACTAATTCCTCCGATCGTTCTAAACCCTACGTGCTCGAGAAGAACTATGCTGGTTTTGCGAAGAAGCCTGTTGTGTCAATGGAAGTTGTGGAATCGAGAGAGCTTCTTTTATCGCTCTCTGAATCCATCGCGTTTCATAGACTCTCGAACTTGGAAACTATAGCGGTTATCACCAAAGCTAAGGGCGCTAACGTCTTTTGCTGGGATGACCGGAGAGGTTTTCTTTGCTTTGGGAGGCAAAAGCGCGTTTGCATTTTCAGACACGATGGTAATAATTTATTCTCTTAGTTTAGATGAATGTTTTGCTATGATTGATTGATTAAAATTGAAGTTGTGATTGACGTTGAAATTGAAACTGAAAATGTTGATGTAGGTGGTAGGGGATTTGTTGAGGTGAAAGAGTTTGGTGTACCGGATGTGGTGAAGTCCATCAGTTGGTGTGGGGAGAATATCTGTTTGGGGTTTAGAAGAGAATATGTGATTTTGAATGCTTCAAATGGTGCTTTGTCTGAGGTTTTTACTTCGGGGAGACTAGCGCCGCCTTTAGTAGTGCCTCTTCCGTCTGGTGAGCTGCTTCTTGGAAAGGTATTGTTCTTTTTGTGAATGTTTATGTATGTCGTATGCGTTTGTTTTCATTGGTTGTTTTGTAAGGTTTAAGGGAGTAATTTGATATGTTGATGCATTGTTTAGGAGAATATTGGGGTTTTTGTGGATCAAAATGGGAAACTTATTCCTGAAGGCAGAATTTGTTGGTCAGAGGCACCCTTGGAAGTTGTGATTCAGAAGCCATATGCTATTGCTTTGCTTCCCAGATTTGTGGAGGTAACTGACTGTTGGAAAAAAATCTGTTTTTTTCTTATTGTGAAAGAGGTTGTGGATCTATGTTCTTAATATGGCCTTTGTTTTGCAGATTAGATCTCTTCGACAACCTTATCCGTTGATACAAACTATTGTTCTTCGCAATGTTCGTCATCTTTGCCAAAGCAGTAATTCCGTGATACTTGCTTTGGATAATTCTATTCAAGGTCTCTTCCCTGTTCCTCTTGGAGCCCAGGTACTGTAAATACTGTTTAATGATAGATGCATTTTGCCACAGCTCTTGTTTTTGGATTCTAATGCAAATGGAAAAGCAGTGAATCATGTGACTTCATTTTACATTACCTAGTTATCAAAGCTCTATGTTTGTGCATCTCATGGATAATTATGAAGTTAGGGATATGGATATTTTGTTGCAGATTGTGAAAGTCATGAATTTTGATATTTCATTGCAGATTGTCCAACTAACTGCATCTGGCAATTTTGAAGAGGCCTTGTCATTGTGCAAGCTCCTTCCACCCGAAGATTCAAGTCTTCGTGCTGCAAAGGAGGGATCAATTCATATGAGGTTATTTGCCATTAAGGATTATTCTTTCTAAAGAAACAGACTATGCAATTTTCCCCTATTGAATTGAATACCTTTGATTTATTAGTTCATCCTATTTCTGAGGGCTCTACTAGATGAGTAGCTGGCAGATTAAGTTTGGATTGATTGTTGATGTGGACCATGTACCAATATGATCATGATATTTTAATGTAAACCCACAAAAGAAAATTGCATTGCCTGTTATGTTCACTGTAAGTGGTCCTTGTAAAAGATTACCTTTAGCGTGTCTTTAGAGATTAGCTTGAGTTGAGACACACTTTGTTGATCTTGTTAATATACTTATTCTTTACAGTAACCAATTGGTGGATAAAACATATAAATTGCTAACTAAAAAGTTTTCGAGGATACGTCATGTAACTAGAGTGTGGCTACAATGTATAGAAAATCTTTGCATTTTGGAAGAAATATCCCAAACTATATGTCGGGTATAATCATTTTGATCATCGTTCATAAATTTAAAGAGTGGAAAAAAAGTAAAGAGTTTAAATAAGTTTATAATAAAATCATAATAGGATTTGAATTATTTCTATATGAATTAATTACTGTCTTATTTCATGTTTGAAGTTTCGTATTTAATTGCATAATTAAGCTCACATATTATTTCATGATAATTGCATCATTAAATAATCATGATCAACGTTTCTGCACTCTGATTATTGAAATTATACAAACCCAACTTTCTGTAGAGGAAACATTTTGAATTCTATAAAGAAATTTAAAATATTAACTTTCTTCAAGAAATCAGAGTCTATCTTTCGGCTTTATATATTTGAGTAAATAGTTAAGATATTGAAATACAAGGCTAAGTAAACAAGCTCGTTTAACAATGTGTTCTAGCCCTATCTGTGTACATATGTTCCACTAATATGGGTTAAATGATGCCTATAGTAGTGATAATAGTTATACCTGTTTAGTGGAAGATTTCACCTTTTATCAATTACGCCGAGCTTAACATGTTAATCATTGTTTGCTTTTCATTTTTTCTGAAAGTGCTGTTGAGTGTGTTCATTTCGTGTTGTTACAGATATGCCCACTATCTTTTTGATAATGGAAGCTATGAGGAGGCTATGGAACATTTTCTGTCGGCTCAAGTGGATATAACCTATGTGCTTTCTCTTTATCCATCCATTGTCCTTCCAAAGACAACTGTTGTTCATGAGCCAGAGAAGTTGGACATTGAAAGGGATGCTTCCTATCTCTCCAGTGTTTCAGATGATATGGAACCCTCACCATCTGACGAGAATGCAGCGCTAGAATCCAAAAAAACAAACCATAATATGCTCATGGCTCTCATAAAATATTTACAGAAGAAAAGAGGTTATTTTGTTGAGAAGGCTACTTCAGAGGGAACTGAAGAAGTTGTTTTAGATGCAGTTGGGGATAACTTTGCATCCTACAATAGGTTTAGAAAAGCAAACAAGGTGAAATGAGTTATTTCTTATTCATTGATGACAATGATTATGGCTTAAATTTGGTATAACTTGCAACTCACGCCTTCCAGTTGGAGGCTAAGTAGGCTAGTGTTATGTCCTTGTAAAGGTTTATTGACAAATACACACCGGCGCACACATTCGCATGTTCAAACACTATCAATTTTTTTGTAGAACATGCAGAATGAATGGTGATTAATGAAGCTACTGGACACATGATGTCCATAATTTATTTGAATTATCAAAATAGTTAAATAATAATAATTTATTTATTATTCAACAGTTGTTAGTGAAGTTATAATTTTTAAATTAATTGTGTCAGGGACGTGGTATTGTATCGGTTAGTTCTGGAGCTCGGGAGATGGCTTCAATATTGGATACTGCTCTGCTCCAAGCATTGCTTCTTACTGGACAATCTTCAGCGGCTTTAGAATTGCTTAGAGGTGTTAATTACTGTGATATGAAAATATGTGAAGAAATACTTCGAAAAGACAACCTTAATGTTGCTTTATTAGAACTTTACAAGTGCAAGTCATTGCACCGGCAAGCTCTTGAACTTCTTCACAAGTTGGTGGAAGAGTCAAGATCCAGCCAGTCTGAAATTACACAAAGGTTCAAGCCTGAGGACATTGTTGAGTATCTCAAGGTAGCTTTTTTAGAAACATTTTGTATTTTTCCTGTTAAATTTAAAGGGTTGGCATTGGCTAAATTGTATGCTGACTTATAGATTAAAGAACTGATTTGACCATTTCAACAAGAAAAAAAAAACTGATATGGGTTGGTTCTTAGGAGTTAGGAAGCAGGCGTGTTTGATTGTATGACATCATATAGTCTTGAATTAGATAGAGTAAGTTCACTCTTCCCAATGTTTTTGGTCTATTTTATTGGGTGATATTATTATTATTAGCTTCTAGTGTAAATGGAGATAAGCTGTAATTTTTTTGTATGGTGTGGAGATAGAAAACATTAGTTGTTATTTTGTTTGAAGGGGGAGTTTAACCCATGACCTCCTTATCACATGAAGGTATTGCTCTTTTGCTTAATTTGGAAGTCTAGATCTGTTGAACATTGTCATTTAGCAAATGATTTTTTTTGTTCTGTGGCATCAATTTGTTTAGCCGAATTGTTTTAGGATTTTCATGTTTGGTTAACTTAGTTCTTTTCCTCTGCATCTAGATACTGGAAAATGCTGTTTGTGTATTCTCTTACAGATTAATTAGAAAAATGTCTTCAATTTCCATTTTGTATGGACTTAAGTTTGGCACAAGACTCATAATCTTCAACTCAGTGAAGTTTATGATTCTCATTTTTTGATTTGGTGGGTTTCTGATGCAGCCGCTATGCGGGACAGACCCCATACTTGTTCTGGAATTCTCAATGCTTGTTCTTGAAAGCTGTCCATCCCAAACTATTGAGCTCTTTCTTTCTGGAAATATACCAGCAGACATGGTGAACTCATACTTGAAGCAGCACTCTCCAAACATGCAAGCTAGGTACCTGGAACTCATGCTTGCAATGAATGAGAATGCCATATCTGGCAATCTGCAAAATGAAATGGTGAGGACCTCTTGCATCTTATTTTAAGGCTATAATAAATTAAGCAGTTTTCTGTTTTCTTTTGATTGTAGAGAAGGGCCGGGTGTCTCATGACAATAGCTTTTAAAAGTTTTGTAAAAGTTTCTTGGTGATGATTGTACAAGCTCAGCTGCTCTTTTGTCAGCATGTTTTATATATGACTAATAATCAGTACTCATAAGAGAGAATTCTGTATTTACTTACATTAATATGCAATGTAGGTAAACATCTACCTATCTGAAGTACTTGAGTGGCATGCTGACTTAGATGCTCAACAAAATTGGGACGAGAAAACTTTTACCCCAACAAGGAAAAAGTTACTGTCAGCTTTAGAAGGTATATCAGAATACAATCCAGGGGCTCTGCTGAAACGTCTACCTCAAGAGGCTTTATACGAAGAACGGGCATTGTTGTTAGGAAAAATGAACCAACATGAACTGGCATTATCTCTGTATGTTCATAAGGTATACCGTCACCGTATTTTATATATATATATATATATCACGGTTTTTAAAGTGATAAATATTGATAATAATTAATTAAGTGTACTTTTCATTTGTAGCTTCATGTTCCAGAATTGGCATTATCTTATTGTGATCGGGTGTATTCGCATCAGCCATCTCTAAAAAGTTCTAGCAACATATACCTATTGCTAATGCAAATCTATTTGAATCCTCGAAAGACCACTGCTAGCTTTGAAATGAGAATTGCCAATCTATTATCCCCGCAAAGTACATCCATTTCTAGAGCTAGTGCAACATCGATAAAAAGCAAAGGAGGCCGGGGAACAAAGAAAATTGCTGAGATTGAGGGTGCAGAGGGCACAAAAGTTAGTTTGAGCAGCACTGACAGTAGTAGGAGTGATGAAGATACGGATGAAAATGAGGGTGGCTCTACTATCATGCTTGATGAGGTTCTTGATCTGTTGAGCCGCAGGTGGGATAGAATAAATGGAGCTCAGGCCCTTAAACTTTTACCCAGAGAGACTAAGTTACAGGTAACCATTGCTAGTTGCTGCACCATAACTAAAGACCACACTTCAACTGTTCTTACTGGTCTAACTTATGTTCTTAGGATTTTTTTTCTGTTGGGAGAAAGTTTATATTTTGATCAGACATTTTTTAGTTTATTCAGTTCGTTAAGACATTTTTTTAGCTTATTTAGCCTGTTAAGTATATCTGTAATCTGCAGGATTTGCTATCATTTCTTGGGCCTCTTTTGAGAAAATCTAGTGAAATGTACCGTAACTGTTCAGTGATAAGGAGCTTGAGACAGAGTGAGAATCTTCAGGTAAGCATACCCCAGAATAAAAATCACGATTTCTTACTTTCTAGTACTTCTATGGTTGGAAGCACCGTGACTGGGCCAGCAAGCTGCACACACTTGCATATTCAAAATTTCAGATCCTTGTTAGCAACTCACTTGATTCAATTTGTTTTGCACAGGTGAAAGATGAACTGTATAGTCAGAGGAAAGGAGTTGTGAAGATAACCAGTGATAGCACGTGTTCTATGTGCCGAAAGAAAATAGGGACTAGTGTTTTTGCTGTCTACCCCAATGGGAGCACTCTCGTGCACTTTGTCTGTTTTAAAGATTCTCAAAATATGAAAGCAGTGACCAAAGGGTCTCAATTGAGGAAGCGATAAAATTGAAACTGAAACTGATGGTCCAACTGCCCTGTTTGCCCATGGTGCTTGCTGGTTGGTGGATTATGATGACAAGTTCACTGTGTTTTTGTCTTCTGAAGCTTGTTTCTTTCCGTCTCTGTTGGTTAGTGTGAAAGTGAGATTTGATATGTAAAGAGCGTGATGCGTTTCTCTTTTGTTTTCATGTGATTGTAAATATTGGGTTATAGGTTCGGGCATTTGTTTTTAGCATTGAAAGGGAGAAGATTGTCCCCTCTTTTTCGCACTGTGTTGTATAACTCTATTATTACAATTTTTTCTACTGTGACATGTAGTATGTTATTACTATTTTTGCCACAACAAGTTTTGTATTCTGCTTTAAAATGTCAAAGTTTAAGTTAAATATTTATTATATCTTTACAAAATCAGTGATAGTGTTGCGTATGGCTGTATTATTCCTAATCATAAACTACGGCCACATAATGGAAGTTAAAAAAAATCCAAAACTGGAAAGACTGCATAAAAACTGGTTTTGCAAAAGGAAAGGACAATACTATATAGTAGAGTAATTATTAATTATCTTGATTACAAATTTATAATAATAAATTGAGTTTGATTTATTACAATATTTTTATTAATTATAGTCAATGCAGTGGTTAGTTAAGTTGAAATATGAATGAGAACAAGTTAATTAATGAATCAAATAATTGAGAAAAAAATATTGCAAAAGGGAAAATTTAATGAGCCCGAGGAAGTGTTATTTTTCAATAAAGGATACTTTTATAAAATCATTAAAAATTAAAACAAAACAATTATGTTAAGTCCGCATAATTGATAGTTGTGAAAAAGTCTGATCCATCATACATATCATTGTTGTATATAGTTTTTTAAATTGAGCCAAAATTTAGGACTGCGCCTTCTATTATGCATGTTCCGTCTTGTTTTTTTCACACACAAACATTAACATATATTTTTTTGTAACCTTCAAATTGTAGGACTGCCATTTCGGTTGGGCAAATTCCACCTTATTTTCTTGTAAGATAAAGTAAAATTATGGAATATCTTAATACATCCTATGTATCTGAAAAATATCCTATACAGTTTCTAAAAATCCTCTTAGTTTTCAAAGATATATGTCTAGACGTGTTTTTTTTGTTCAATGTTAGTTTATTTTGGAGATATATTTGCGTAAAATTCTCGGAGATGTATCTCCGTATTTTATGCAGACAGTAATCACAAGTTATTTTATAAATGTTTCTCATATCAAATAGTTAGAAGGTATTATAAGATTCGATAATACTAAGGATATGAGTAAAACGACATATATAAAGTTATAAGTCAAGATTACATAAATCCAATCCAAAAGTTACAACAAAGTCAATATATCTAATTTAATCCAAAATGAATCAAGAGTACAAATACAATAATCTACTGCATATGACGGGCTATGAGTCGGCCTCTCCCTTATTCCCATAATGTCTCTTATACTATAGAGTCTCTGCCATCATGGCATCTACAACGCTCCTCGCTTCATAGTCACCTAGAAAGAGTCATCAGTCAATACCTGCATGCCCAACCTGCATGATACGATGACACCTAGGCAAGACATCAACAACACGACCTGCCCTAGTTTGCTCCTCCTCTAGTATCTTCTGATGAGCTGACATAGGTGGATCACCTGGAGCATCTTGTACCATATAAGGACGTGACACCCGGAAGAACCATCAGATGTAACTGTCTATGTAGTCCCATTCATTCTCAACTATGGTACTCCGTGCCTCATCTGGTAAAATATGTTTAAGATAATCATCAAACATACCATTCATATCTCTGCATTTCATAGTGAGAGGAGCTGACACAGAAGGATCTCTGGAAATATACTGCATGTAGCCGAACTGACTCATGACGCTCAGGAAGATGAGGAGGCGTCAAACGTGACTCACAAGCCAACCATCTCGAGTATAAGACAATGTCATCAAAGGGAATCACTTCACGGTGATCGACATGACAACGAAAGTGCATATCCTCAAATACCAAGCAGTTAATATACACTTTGAACAACTATGTCGTCCGGTTCCCTCTAAGTGGGGCAAACACAAAAGCACGCGACTTATCCTCAGTATAAGTCTGCTTAAGTAACCAACCAGATATGCATGGGAAGTGCCGGAGGATCAAGCCTGAAAACACAAATCATTAGTTAGTAACGACGTTGCAATAATTAACAAAATAGTACACAACCAATAAAATGCCAAGAAATGTTACTGTCAAAGTATGATACTATATGCCTCGTCTTCCACATACAACCTTCAGATAAATTAGAGTACAAGTAGACCAAACAAACGACCTCCCAGTTGTACTCATGGATACGCTCAAAGTCCTCAAAATTTCACGGGTATATGACATCCACATAAGTGGCACTCTTGTCCATAAAAATAGTAGTGCCAACCAAATACAACGGTATGCTCTCACAACATACCCTATCTGCAGCCATACCTTCTCCTCATCACTAACAATTGTATGTGATCTCGCCATCTCATATGTAAACACCTTTTGCAAAAAGCTAAACCTAGCATGAGCCCCACGAGTGAAGTCAAGATTTTTAATGGCATCCTCTGCATCAACTCCTAGATAGTCTACCATCAACTCCACTGTATCATCTTTTTTACACCTCCCTTGATCTAAAAGTCTCCTCCTAATCGAAAGATGCATCGGACATCATTCAGTGTGATAAACATCTCACCATGTTGTATAATAAATGACGACGTCTCCATGTGAGTGTCACCATTGGGCTCTTCTAGGAGAGTGCTCTTTCACATATGGTTGATGAATTGTAGTGGATCACGTTCCTGCACACATGGTTTAATAAGAAAGATTCAAATAAATAAAAGTTAATAATAAAACAAACACCAATTTAAATGACTAATTCCAACTAAAACATTACCTATGTGTCCCAGATATGTATGGCAACATGGTCTGGATAAAGAGGCAACAATGATAAGTCTGACGGGCCTCCTCCAAAACCATGAGGTATCACAAGTGCTGCTTGTGACTAGGATGCCTAAAGTGCCTCCTGGGACTGGGATGCATCAGGTGACAAATCACTCGCCTGGGACTGGATACCTCAGGTACCTCTGGTGTCTCCTGGGCCTCTAATGCCTCTCCTGCATCAGGTTTTTGAATACGTGAACTCTTGCGTCTACGTGAAGATGAAGGCACGAGTAGGGGATCCTCGCCTGCTACGGGAAGACGAAGAAGAAGGCATATATACATGAGCCCTGGAACCTGAGGCATGCACATCAACCTATCTAGAGGTAGAAGGAGTCTACAATTGCTGGTTCTTTTCTCTCCGAACGAATGCATGTTGTGCAAGCTTGTCGTGTCTCAATCGGGATGGTCTTTCAGCCATAATTCTTGAAAATAGATAAGAAAATTGTTACACAATGATTTCATTACAAAAAAGCCAAAAACATTGCACAGACTGCTTCCAAAGATGCATATCCTGTTCTAGGTAAACGTTGGAACATTACAGATATATATCTTCAGAAAATCATGCGACTCGAAGCTCCATCAATGGAAGAATGCAGACCCATAAAACATAAAAAATAATCCATTGATCGTAAAAATTACCTAACTAAATCGTTCCTCAGTAATTTTAAGCTATCAAACACTAAAAAACCTTTCGATTTCATTACCTAAAACTCAACTTCTAGACATTTTTACCTAAACTCAATAAACTTTAAAAAAACTTACAGTTTGTGTCTTCAAGTTGATTGTTGTTACTCAATGCGAGTGTTTGTAGAAATGAATTTTGAAAGTGTGTGAGTAAGTGAGGAAGGAGAATTGACTATGGCGCATATTTGAACAAATAGTGTTCGAAGATGAATCTACATAGGCTTTTCGTTATGCATCTTCATAATAATTTTGCATGAACTTTGGTCCTGGACAAGAAATGTACTGAAGTTAAGTGCGTCCGGCGGTATATCTACATAAGATTTACGTAGTCGTATCTCCGATAAATTCTTTTCACTGATTCAAAGTTTTGTTCAATATTAAATTGAATTTTAGTGCGTCCAGAGATATATCTTCAAAATCTAAAAACACAAATACATTTTCGCGTGATGCGCTAGAAAAATATGAGATGCATTAAAAAACTCTCTAAAATTATAAATTTACATCCTTCACTATTTACGTTTTACCTTATTTCTTTTTCTATTATTTTTCACTATAATTATGATTTATCAACCCCTATATGATTTATAAGACGGTGATAATAATATAATAGGATGGATAATTATAATTCCATAAGGAAGAATATTTTGAGTAAAAATAATTGCTTAAAAAGATAGTTACATATATATTTTTAATCTCTACAAAACTACAAGTTAGACTTCAATAAAATTAGTCATTTTCTATTTATATTTAATAGAAAAATCAAAGATTTATTTTACATTAAATCTTTTATAACCAAACTTAACGGCTTGTGAATTCATAGGAGTAAAAGCGACAAAATATTAGATTATTTTCGGAAAGGATCGGCACTGCTGTAGAATGTTAAATACTTTCAAAATTATAGTTTTGAATATTAATAAAGTAGAACCGTCTTAGCGAACACAGTTGGTCCCCATGGTCTAGCGGTTAGGACATTAGACTCTGAATCTAGTAACCCGAGTTCAATTCTCGGTGGGACCTTATGCATTTTTATTTTATGATTTTCATGCTATTATTTGGCCTGTGAAGTGTAAGTTAATAACTTTTATCTACAAACACATCTCTAATCAATAGTTATGAATGTGAGAGATATCAAAATAAAAAATTTGTGTGTATTGAATGATTTAAATAAAAGTTTTTGAAAATTCAAATTATATTACAAAAGCACTTTTTTTAAAAATATAAAAAAAATCTATATTTTATTTAAAAAATATCAAAGCTTAAATAAGAAATTATATGAAATAAAAAAATATATATGATTTTACAAAATCAAAGCAGATATATAAGAAATATAAAAAAGATTATTTGGGTTT